GGTCAATATATTAGAAAGGTTAACAGATGGTAAAGGTTGAGGTATTTTTTAATTACAAATTTCTCCCTCTGATACAGTTTAGTGGATTTTTTTATTACTTCTATGGGACTTAACTTCCTTTCCAACCCAAGTGTTTAGTTTATCATAGAGATACCAGCCCATTCTTTTTCCACCTCCTGTATCCCTTTGTATTCTGCCAAGTGCCAATGATTATTAGTGCCCATATTCACAATCCTAAGGATATTGAAGGATATCTTGTAGGGTGTAGAAATCTAGATTTTAAGCAATCTTTCCTTTTTACGTCTGTTCTCCCACTGGTTTGACCTGCATCATTGGTTTATTTGATTTTTTTGTTTTTGTCTTTGCTTTTTCTCAAGAGATCTTGGAGACTGACCTAGTTTCAGCCTGTGGTTTATAGTGGCATATTTTCTGAGTATTGCTTGAAAATAAGGAAGCTTCCAAAATGAACAAGAAAAAAAATCCACAGTATATAGGGACAGTGGCGCAGTGAATAGAAGAATGCTGTCAGGCACAGGAGCTTAACAGTCAGCTAGGGCTGGAATTCCCTGAAAAAATGTAACTTCAAACAGCAGATGTGGTGCTTGACTTGCAGTGTCCCTTTGCAGAAATTACTTAAAAGGTAAGACTTTTAATTTTTGTGAAAAACTGTGAACTCTTAGAATACAGTTTCACAGATTTAATATATATTCATCTATGTGAGCCAAGGAATTTAGAATTTTTGTAAAAATATTGTGAGTTATGTCAACACCCAAACTGTTTTCCTTTGTTTCTGATGAAAGAGAAATTTAAGATACCCTCTTTTCTTGATATCATTTAAAAAGGAAAAAAACAATAAAAAACCCCTACAAACCAATCAAAAAAATCATGTAAAGGTTTCACCTTTTCTAGTTTTAATTACAGTAAAATTTTTCCAGAACAATGTTATTGAAATATTAAAAACAATTTGTGTAAACTGAACAGCTGAAATCTAAGCAACACTTGGAAGACCGGGAGGTGGAGGTATACTTTGGGCAAACTTTAGCTTTTTTTTTTTTTTTTTTTTTTTTTTAATTTTCCAGACTTACAGTAATATTCTATTATATATGGGATCCTCATGTTCAAATCAGCATAAAATGTATTAACTGTATTTTCCTTTGAGAGTGTTTAAACCAGATTTTATGTCATTCCTTATTCTATGGAGTGTAATAACTGGAAAAATGGTAGTTGCATCTGACTTTTGTGTGCGCACATAGGCATTTGTTGTAGCAGGTTAGAGATATTTATAGCATTCTCAGTCATTTAGGAAGTTTGTAGTTACTAAAATAGAATAAACCACCTTGGTTTTTTGTAAATGTTTGGCTGATTTGAAGATATTATGCCCAGATATGTTGCTGGGCATTGTTACCTTAATTTTTTTTTTTAATAATTTAAGCAGTTACTTTAACTGTCAGGCATCACTTGGACGCTGCAGAATGTAGCACCACTACCACTTGCCAAATGTCCAACTTTCAGGCTCAGGCTCTTTGATTTATCAGGTGACATAATGTATTCCTATCTGTTGTTCTCCCTTAAAGATAAGTAGTCGGGACAGTGTTCAACATGAATGCACTGTAAAGCAAAAATGTTTTTGTGTGAGTGTTTAACTCTTCTTATTACAAGAGGGATTTGATTATCATCATCTGGAAGAACTAGCAGTTAAAATTAGGTAAGTTTGTTCAAGCAGATTTTGTTTATTAATTTTTTTTTTTGAGTTCTTGAAAGGAATCTCAAAGTAGTTAAGATACCTTCTCAAAATTAAATTTAGTGCTGACGCAATATAGACACACAATACCTACCTTTGCGGTAAGGTGTATGAAATGATCTACTTTATAGTATTCCAGTAAGTGGATTGGAATACAAAGTAACCAGCCTTGCAGTGATTAAGATGAGAATTACTAAAATGCTGTTTCTCCTTCCAGCAACAGATTGTTTCTGTGAAAACCTTTGATCCACAGTAGTACATCCTTTGTTGTGGGTGATAGCAGTGTGAATCTTGGAAGCTATTTGTTTCCTTTTCATATTTCCTTTTTTATGGAATGTGCTTAGATGGCAAGTACAGACAGTGGCTGTTGAGCAGTTTTTTATATCCTAAGAACAGCAAATAACAATTTATAGTGCAGAGAATGAGGAGGCGCAGAAAGCTTAATTTGTATTATAATTATGCCTTTGTCCGGGTGCTTCATAGTGTTAATTGAGGAATAAACTAATTTTCATAATCACAGATTCACTTTGAAATTTTGAGTTACACCTGCTTCTCAACTTGTAAACCACTGAGTCTGTGAAAGTGTCTCTTAGTGCTGTGTGGGCTATACATTTCACAGTATCATGTATAGCTGTTTGTAGACCAAGGAAGGTTGACCTTGGCTGGACACCAGGTGCCCACCAAGCTGCTCGATCACTCCGCTCCTCAGCGGGACAGAGGAGGGAAAATAAGACGGAAAAAAACTCATGGATCAAGATAAAGGCAGTTTAGTAAAGCAAAAGCAAAGGCGGTGTGTGGAAGCAAATGAAAACAAAAGATTTATTCTCTATTTCCCATCAGCAAGCGATCTCCAGCCACTTCCCAGGAAGCAGGGTTTCATTACATGTAGTGATTGCTCTGGAAGACAAATGTAATAGCAGATGCTGCCATTCTCCTCCTTTCTCAGCTTTTATTGCTGAGCAGACATTGTATAATAAGCAATATCCCTTTGGTCATTTTGGGTCAGCTGTCCTGGCTATGTCCCCTCCCAAAATCTTGCCCACGCCCAGCCCACTGGTGAGGGGGCAATGTTGGAGAGACAGCCTTGATGCTGTGCAAGGACTGCTCAGCAGTAGCCAAAACATTGGTATGTTATGCAACACCCTTCTAGCCATCAGTACACAGCAGAACACGACACGGCTGCTGTCAGGAAAATTAACTCTCATCTCAGCCAGATCCAATACATACCTATTCAGATTTAGCATGGACCACAGTTCCTGTCACAGGTGGAGTGATGCATTTCACTCATGAGAGAGAAATAGCAATATGTTTACTGATATAAAACTGATTTAATAAAGTTTGGTAGTAAATGGTGACAGTGGTTTAACAAGATTCAATGGCAAGATACGCTTGATTATTTAATGCATAGAGGACAGGGTCAGACAAAACTGCCAGGGAGACCCTCTCATTGAGTCATGAAGTTCAGAAAGGACCCTCTTGCATTCTAAACTCCTTCTCAGAGGGGAGTTAGGTGCAGCTGGATTCAGATATAGTCCCAGACTTGGCCATTTGTTTATGTCTGAAAGATTATTTGTGCACAATCAATCCTTTATATCACTTAGTTAGGATTTTGAAGTTTAGCATGCTATTAATAACTTACTGAGAATCTGTTGCATCAAGAACTCTCTCAAGGACTAGCCTTGGGAGGGGTCCCTACTCAAGGGGAGATGCTGGTGTGCAGCTCACTGCCATGCAGGAGAGCTCCAAGGGCCCTGAGCTCTCTGCTGTTTGTGGAGTAAGATGATTGACTTAATACCAACTACAGATGTTAGTTTCTTCTGAATTTGGCTTGAGTTGGACATTGACCAGCACTGTGGTTAGCCGGGCGGATTGTTATCTGTCTCTTGTGAATCCACTTTGAGTGCAATGTAGTAACCGTCATTACCAGACACACCCATTACAATCACCACTGGCAGTTAGCACTTGAGCAGGCTGGTGGGTGGAAGCACACTGCCACAGTCCCTTTTTTTTTTTTTTTTTCCCCTCAGGTGCCTATATGATTTCCGTGCTAATACTTCAGTTCCCCTTCAGACACCTGTGACTATCAAAGATGTACATATGTTGTGAATGTGAGAACAGAGGGCATGGGTTTTCTGTTGGCTTATCTCTGTATATATATGTGCAAAAAGTGCATGAAATTATACAGTTGTTTTGGGAATCAGACCTGTTGCTAGAGGCAATAAGTTAGAAGAAGGGTAGGTTTGACTAAACCAATGTTAATGAAAGAGTCAGTTTTATCAGAGAACTAAAGCTGATGGAACTGTGGGATAAGACAAATATAAAGAAAATCAGCCTGATGATATCAAGCCTTTCTGTGTCAAGCATGAAAAAAAGGGAAGGAAATTAGCAGAGGTGGATAAGAGAAATAATGAATAATATAAATTGTGCATAAAAATTATTTTAAAATCAGACTTCAGCATCAAAATTATAGATTGTTTTAGGAAACTTAAGTGGTACCAGACAAATGAGCATTTTGAGAATAATGCTTCAAGTTACTTTTGTAGAACCTTGCCAATCAGTTGAGTACTTTCAGTACATTTCTTCCTGTGTAAATTAACTATTTTCATATCTGTTACAGGTATTAGTGTGATGTGTTAGATGTTTAAAACTGTAATTAATTTAACTGTAACTATTAAATGAAATTCATTAAATTACATGGACTGTGTTATGGCTGCCATTGAAGTGAGAGTTGTGAAGACCCATGAGAGCTGGGGATAATGGCACAAGTGGAAGTGGGAAGCCGGTCTATGATATTAATAAACCACATAGATAACTTAGCTCCTGTAATGAATTTCTAGATTTTTTTCATTAATTTCATTAACTTCATAGAGTCCTTTTATTTTAAAAGACATTGTATAATAATGATGGATTGAATAAATCACAGTTGAAGATTGTTAGATATTGTTAAGAACCAAAGAGAATTTTAATCTTTTCCTGTTTTTGTTCTTTACTAAGGTAGTCTTATATTTTTAAACAATTATTCCTCAGATTTTTAGGGGTATATCACTGAAAATGAAAATCTGGAATTAGTCTCTTGTTTCTGATTTCTGCCTACTTTCTGCTTTCTCCTCCTCAGATTATGGCTTGTGTGAGGGAAACCTATGTTTCTTTTATGTATATTGCAGTTGCAGCATTGGGTTTTTTGTTTGGTTGCCTTATTTTTTTTTTTTATTCATCATAGCACTATTTTCACAGAGGTGAATTATCCTTTTTCTTCTAGAACCCTGTCAAGAAAATTCCAGATTCTCATGAAATTACTCTCCAACATGGGACAAAAACAGTAAGTGATAACACATTTTCAACACTTCTTGTTTTTCTAGAACTGAGTCAGTCTATGAAATAAGTTAACAGCTAAAGTTCAAGAAGCTAATTATTTTTCTTAATTGTTATTTTAATCTAATGTGTTTCTTACTGCAATTGAAACTGTGTTTTAGGACTGCCTTTTCACTTCCTTGTAATAACCCAAATGTGGCTCCATTTGACTCAATTGTAGCCTCATTTTATATTTCCTCTCTGTCAAATACACTGCAATTTTTAGAGTTCCTCTTCTAGGCTAGACCTTTATAATCTAGACCTTTCTTTGATCATGAATTTCAAACAGAATGTTACTGCTGAAGTTTCCAAGGTATCTTTGTAGCTGAATACAGGTCTCCTTCATTCTTGAATCTTTAAGCGCCTTTTATACACCATTCTTAATTTCTTGAAACCTTGTTCTTCCTTGTCTTTGACTGCATCTTTTCTACGTTTCACCTGCAATATTGCTTCTTCACTTTCTTTTAAATAACTACTGTCTGACTTGGAACTATAATTTCTTTGTTATCAAGATTTTTATCTCTGGATTATCTCATCTTCCAGCACAAGTGCTGTTATCTGCTGTTTGATTGAAAATCTATTTTTATAGAATGGTATTTATTTTCTGGCCATAAAAAGCCCTGAATCTATTCCCAAATCCTTTCCCCATGTTCTTCTTTGATGATTAAAAAAGATGCTGCTGCTGTTTATTCTCTTCAGTTTTGGCCATGACTTAGGCTTCAATGAGAATATAAAACTAGAACTTCTTGTATTGTTATTATATCCTGGTGAAAGCATAGTCAGCTAGTTAATAGAATTCTCACTCATGGCATTCCTGAGATTTTCTTTGGAGAAGAGAAAAAAAAAGGAAAGGAAAGAAAAATGGAACAAAAAAATATTTGAGAAGTTATTTTTCATGAGGTTTTAAACAATCTAAAGAAATGTATAATTTTCCTTTACTGGTTTTTGAAAAAACCTCATGGATTCATTTAATGTTTATATAATTAATATAATCACACACTTAATAATTTAAAATTCAACAGTATTAAATAATCATTTTAAATAATAAATTTGTTAAATGAACATATCAAATTAAAACATTAAATGTCAGTAATTTGTGAGTTTAAGGTTTGAATATTTAATTATTATTTATCAGACATTTTAAAGGACTTTTTTTGAGGTTTAAGCTTAACAGTAAAGGTGGTAAATGTTTTTTTTATAAGCTTTCAGAAATAGTTACTTTCAGAAGTGTCTATTCATTAATCTGTCATCAGACTTTGTGGTCTGTCTTGGTGTGTGGAGAGGTAATAAAACGTACCTATTTGTTATATCATAGTGCTAGACATACATAAGTAGAGGGAGAAGAGGAAAGAATAAGTGTGTTATAAATGAAAGTAGAAAAATTTTCTATTTTAAGACCTGTAAAAGATGCATTGTGTTACACTGAACAAAAGCAGAATGGATTTTTATGCACACAGTGCAAGTAGCTTTTTGCATACTAATATCTATGCATACTTGGATTTGCATAGTAATATACTAGTGCAAACCAGTTTTCCATTTCACATGTGACAGTAATTGCTTCTTCAGTATGTTTCTTGAATACATTTCCTAACAATCTTTATGTAAAATTTTTAAAAGTTTTTTTCTTAATATTAAACCAGTGAACCTTCTGATGGCTTCCTAAAGTGTAAGCTCATGTTATTTCTAACTAGAAGGCTTTGTAAAGTGGAAGTACAGTTTTGGAAGACTTCTGAGATATTTTGACTGTGTGAGAATGCAGCTGACATCACCTAGAACAGAGGTGAATTGCAATGTGGGCATATATGAAGTGGTTGGATTAGACTGGATGCAGCTAAGGAAACATACCACTGAAAAAAAACAGCTCTTCTGTAGGACTATCTTTTTGTTGTATTTGTTTTAGAGTAATGAAAGTAATTACACATGGAAGGATGGGAGCAGCTTCATATCTTGATATCATATCTTGGTATCAGTGTATGACCCCAATGCTTTAAAATACAGTCTTCTCATGTTCATACAGTGTACTGTATTTCAGCTAAACTTACATATCCCATCTGTACCTCTTCAATCTAATGAACATGGGTGTGATGATGACTCTATTCCTGTGCAGCTGAAAAGTCTCAAAAAAGATTTCCCAAGAAGCAGAGTCTTTCCAGAAACCTGATTAATTTCCTGGTTGCTTTGCTTGTACACTGTAATAGGAGTTACTGTTCCCAATGATACTTCAGGGATATATGTATATTTTTTTTTTTCCCTCTTGACACCTTTGATGCATCGGTGGGTATGAGAAAGGATGCATAATCACAGGTATTCTTAACAGGGTGCTTTCTAATGTCTCGTATCACAGCTGCTCCTTCCTATATTAGTTATTGTAGAATAGAAAGCTTTAGTCTGTTAACTGAACACATTATCAATCTGGAGATGCCCGTTTTTTCTGCCTGATAGAAATAATGAATGAAATGAATGCTGTTGAAAATTTGCATTTAAATGGTAAAAGGGGCATTTTTGGGGAAACACATAAAAGGTTGCATCTTTTTCATTTGAAAATCAAATATGTCACAGTGACATAACTTGAATACAGTTTAATTCATTCTTAGGGATAGCACAAAGCAGTACATTTAAACATTTGATTCAGGGAAGTAAAAAAAAAAATGTTGAACCTATTAGTAACTCTTCAAATTAGATTTTGGGGGCGGGGCACTTGATTAGGACATCTGATGATCCTTTACATTCTTTAGAAGAATGAGGTTTTGGATGTTCTCGAAAAGATAAGATTTCTGCAAGTGAATGACTTTAAAATAAAGCAGGACAGTTAGATTAAGGAGTTGTCAGTTGCCTGAGGAACAGCAGCATCATTTCTGCAACATCTTGGTTTACTTGAAAGTACTTTTTTCAAACTGGCTGTATGGTGGGACTGTATGTTTGAAACACAGTGAGTACCAACATGAGGAGCAGTGTGAGCCTTAAGGAGAAGAGGACTAGAAATGAGTCATTGATAAAATAAGGTATACCTAAGTGAAGCTTTTCTACATGAAACTGGAAAGAGAAAACTCAAAAGAAACCCATTCTGTTTCATATAAGAAAATCTTAATTTGAGCAAAACAATTGTCCATCCTAAACTTGAAGAATAAAGTCAATTAATAACTGGTGTTTTTATTGAAATGCTTATTTTCTGTAGGTTACTTTTTCAGCTGGGCATGGAAAAGGGAGTATCTCATACTAAATTCCGTTTTTTTAAATAGTGTTTGTGTGGGAACTATTCAACAGTTTACATAAGTTTTAAGTCTATGTAACACAGTATATTTGAAAGCTTTAAAAAAAAATCATAGTAGTAGCCTGATAAATCTTTGAGGCAAGGTTTATTTTGGTGGTACTTCTGCGTGTCTGCAATAAATCATAGAGACTGTCAGTACTTTTTATGTGTGCATGTAAAGAAGATACAGATGAGCATCCTTATATGCAAATTATTGTAATTTTTATACATCAATATCTGGAATTTTTTATATGAGTTTAGGCATCTGAAAGTAATTGGCCTGATTTTTTTTGTTGTTGTTTTTGTCTGAAGAAGTTCAGTGCTGCTAGCCTATATCCATGACACTATTGTCAGCTGCTATCTTTCAGAAATTAAGGCTTTTCCTTCTTTCATTCTGTACATAGTTTTTTTCTTTGGTTGTTTTTTCCCCACACAATTTTCTAGAGCTGTGAGTATTCTTGGTGTAGTATAAGATCTGTTTTTTTTTTCCTTCTGAATTTTCTGCCTCATCCCTTCAAATCCCCTTCCAAGCTTATTTCTAGAACTTTTCTTTAGTTTATTGTGTTGAAGACTGTTTTCCCTGTTGCAAAAGAGTTTCTGAATCTCATGGTTATCTATCTCATGTCTGTGAGATGACCTCGGTTTTTGTCCAATGAAAAGAAGTTATCTACTGGTTAGAGTTTAGGTTTTACCTATGGTCTACCTAACTCAAAATGCCTAATAGAGGTTAAATTGTATTCTAGGGATTAAAACCTAAATATGATTCCCTATGAGTTTTATCTTCTCATTAAAAATTTTTCAGTCATTTTAACATTTCAGGTTGGGTGTAATGTTGAGTAATTCTACAAATACTCTTATTGTACAGTTTTTGACATGACTTCTCAACACTATCTCATGTAGGTGACTTAATTTTGGTGAGTTAATTTACTTACTTGATTTACAAGTTGATTGAACACATTACCTAGTTAATCTTGTGTTAATACTTGAAATCATGATAGCTGATAATTTTTTAACAAATGAGAAAAGAGAAGAAATAGTTTTGAATGTCAATGAAAGAATGTTGAATCAATGAGGTGTTTTCTATTACTCTCACTTCTCCATAAACTGATTTGAACACTATTATAATAACGTTCTTCAAATACAAAATTAAAATAGTGTTTTCACTGAAAATACCATTTTAATCAACCTTTGATTTGGGGATAATAAACCAGTGTAATGTGCATTAAGCATTCTTTCGTCAAAGTTCTGAGTGGCTTCAAGCAGCTAGTTTTGGATACAAAACAAATGGAATTTTCTAAATGTTTTTAAGTGCTTTTAGTTAAAATAGTATATTTTTAATTTTTATGTTTGTTCTTTTTTAAGTCGTTATTTTTGTTTTCTTTTTTCTAGAAGATAAATTTAACCAAACAATGTATATATGCACATCAGCTGTCTTGAATAAACTAGTGTAAAGTCTTAAACTGATGGAGCTAAAATGCCATTTCAGCACCTTGCTAGAAATACTATTTGTTCTTTTAAGAAAAGTCTAGAGTACAACTTTCTTCATAGAAATTAACTATAACCAAACGCTGCAATGATTAGAAAGCATATACTGTAAACTCACTTTTCTTAGCTGTCTTCAGTGATTTATTCGGATTACGTAATTTTGATTTCCATTCTCCCTACCCCTTCCAAAGTACTCAGACACTATATAACATAGTGAAAATTCAAAAATGAAATATAGCTGATGTATTTTCAGATTTTTTATTTCAGTAGTATTTTGTATTTTGGTGACATGGTGACACCTGAGGAACTGCAGGACAAAAAAATAATAAAAAGCTTGAATGATCTTAATTTTTTATTTTTTTTTTTTATATTTCCTGTATAGGTTTCTGCTTTGGGTTTGGATCCTTCAGGTGCCCGTTTGATAACTGGTGGATATGACTATGATGTCAAATTTTGGGATTTTGCTGGAATGGATGCCTCTCTCCAAGCTTTTCGGTCACTCCAGCCTTGTGAATGGTACGTATGAAGACTGTCTTCTTTAACTAAGATTGTGCCTATGTTAAGCTTCTAATAGAATGCACAAAATGCCTGTAAGAGCTTGTTTAGAAAGCTCTTGTTATCCCCGTGTACTTTTTTGTGGTAAATGCAATGGAAACCTAAGAGCTTGTCTGCTTATATCTTCTCATGCTTTTTCCAAAGACTTGCATATTTTCCATTTTTAGAAAGCTACAGGTGAATTTGCAGATGAAATTGTTGATAGCATATCTTGGAAAATAGCTTAAGAACTATTTGACTTTGAGACAGGTTGAATTTCATAGTTGTAATTGAAATTAATAGCATAGACCTTCCATACGTACTCTGTTTATGTAAAATTAATGAAGAAGAGAAAAAAGTTAAAACCACTGACTCCTTTGTAGAGAGCCTCTGTTGTTGCTGCCAGTATTTCTGAGTGGGGGGTATCTAATTTTCATTAAACCCTTTGTTTCTGGAAGCACTAGGCCTTTGCATTGCACTGATAATTGAATAGCTTCACTATGCATCAGAAAAATTATGTCTGCTGTATTTTTAATGGAAAAAAAGCTATATATTTATTTATTTACATTTACTTATATGTTTATATATATGTAAATCAGAGAAAAAAATACAGGAAGCATTTTTTTAGAGAGTGATTTCCGTACTATTTATACTGTTCACTGGTAATTCAGCAAGTAGATGAACCAAATTCATTTACTTATTCCAGAGAATTGGAATATGGTACTCCTTCAAAAGGAGTGTATGTCTCATACACAGTGAACTTTTAGATAAACACCTTTATAAATTAGTGATATAGTTGTTCTATCAGGGTACTTTCTAGTGTCTAACTAAGTTATAAGATAAGGGATTGAAATATTTATGTGCAGTAAGTAGTCCTTAGAATGTCTATTTTTAATTGTTACTGTCTTTAAAAGCTACAGCTGAATTTTGGTCAGTTTGAAAGGTTGGAATGTGTGTTACTAATTATAGATGTGCCTTGAGTCTAGATAATGAAAGATGAGAAAAAGTTGGGGCTGTTAGCATGAAAAGGAGCAAAATAGAAAAGGATTCCACTGATGTTCAAACTGTGAAAAATCAGGAAAATAAGTGTGCTTTGATTCATTATGCAGTTCTAATCTCTTTGACAGACTTATTTCTTCATTATAAACTGATGAATGACAAATTTACTTTGAAAACATAACTTGGTAAACATGCTGCTTTGAAATAAATAAATAAAATTATGCGCATGTGAAGTCACATTCAGACTTTGTTGGCATGAGTTTCATTTACATGATTAGTTAGCAGGGTACAAATGGTATTTTCCTCTCCTCTGTCATAACTGAGCAGATAGAAAAACCTGACAGTCTTTTCTCCCACAGTAGGAGATTATTTTAACTGAAGCATTTCCAAAATAAGCAGAAGTGTGCATTCAGATTTAGTATTACTTGGTAATAATGGTATAAGACATAAATGTAGTATAAAATCCACAATTTCAGTGTATGGTAGTGTCCCATTTCAAGGCAAACAGCTTAAAAATACGTTTGTACTATCCTTTTGTCAAAAACTGATGGTAAAATATGAGCTTAAATTGCTTGTTATCCCTGACAGCATTTGTTTAGTGTGTTATAAGTATCTCATAAGTATTTTTATATGAATGTTCTCGATCAAATATACATTCTTGTGGTTTGAGTATGTTGAAGTATAAATACATAAAAATAAATAAAAAATAATAGTAAAAATATAATTGACTAGTAAAAAGTTTGGGAATTTCAAATATGTTTCAAGTCTCATGTACTAGCTTGGGTTTTTGAAAAATGTATTATTTAAATAACCCATATGTGTCTTTTTGTAAACATAAAACAGGAATTATAGCTCTGTCTGGTAAAAAGATCCAAACTCAAGAAAGAGTTATTTCATGCTGACATTGAGGCATACTAGTGACTACTATGTGGAATATTGTATAATTTACGCCCACATGTATGTATATTCTTACATTATTTTTTTCATTATGCAACTTATTTCAGGGATTGTTAGCATTCACAGACCTTAATCTCAAAGAATTCTGAGGAGTTCTGATATGGAAGCTTTAGGTATTAGCAGAATTCCAGTTCTGGGGCCATAAATTTAGTTTCATTTTAAGAATAAAAAAAGCCTGAGAAGAAATCTATATTGTCCAGTCCCCATTTTGTAGCATGAGATCAGGTTACTCTATTAATGTCTCCTTGGTTTTGGGATGTAAGGGAAAAAATAAAAGAGACTGACAAAAAAGTAGTACCTTCAGATCACACTTCGGTGTTAAAGGCAAAGATGGGGATAAGGAAAAGCTGTGTTCTGTGTGTAGAAATTATTTGTGTGTCACGATTCTACCCATGTATGTGGCTCTGTTCTGCAGGTCCTAGCAGAAAGTACTGTGCACATTTGGCAGCTTTGAACCAGAACATCTTGGTTTAATGCTGTTAAGGGGAACTGTTTTTATAAGTTTTCCAAGACTTCTGCTTTAACATTAATAAGAACCAAAAATGTTTTCTTTAAGAACTGCCTATGTAGAGCCTCACTCTTAGTCATACTCCAATAAACATCTGAAAAGTGGTAACTTCTGTGGCTTTGCAAATAGAACTGACTTTTGAACATGAATGAAAAAGTCATATTGCACAGTCACAATGGTTGGTGTTTTTTTTTCCTTTTTTCCTTTAGTTGTGGAAATCTTCTCTCTCAGCCTCATTTTTTCACATGACTGATTGGATAAATTACTAGATATTTTCCCATTGTGCTAGGTGCTGTAAAATCAAGTACTCATCCTCATTAGAAGAAACTTTAAATCTAAGGTGAAAACAAAGTTTGTTCAAACATGATGATACAGAACTACAAGGAAGCAATAAGATGGTATTGGTCAAATTACAAATGGTAACATGTTAACAGTATTAATGTCTGTAGTTTTAATTTCAGTACTAAATTTCAGAAGCAATAAGATGGTATTGGTCAGATTACAAATGGTAACATGTTAACAGTATTAATGTCTGTAGTTTTAGTTTCAGTGTTAAAGGGTCTGAAAAAGTTTTCTCAGAAGACTGTGGGTCTTTACATATTGTGGATTATCTCAGAGATCAGATTTTAATTCTGGGCAAGCTGTTGGATCTTATCTAGTGGCCAAATCCTCTTCATGAATGAGGATCAAGCAAAAATAATCTCTTGGTGTAGTTATTAAATGTTTATTTTTCGTTCTTAGATTTCAACAGTTAAAAGTGTAGAACACGAATCTGTGCTTTGAAGATATGTTAGGTATTTTTTTTTGACAATTTCAGCACTAGGGTGTGAGAAATATAACTAGATAAGTACTTCATTCTTCATGCAGTACTCAGGTGGGACTCAGAAATATTTCGAGCATTTTACGAAACGTGATACAGCAAGAGCACTTAATTCCTAATATACTCTTGTTGCTCTAAAGCTGAATCTGATGGATTCTTTAGTCTAGGTTTATAAACTGTCTGCAGTGAATATTCTAGACTTTAGATATTGTTTCTCTTGTGGATTTATTTTTAATTTTTTCAGTGTTTCCTCTGAGTTTATGCGGCTGGGCTTCTTTCTCCTCTTCTGAGCAAGTATCCATTTTTCCTCTTGAGTCTCAGGATGCTTTTTCAGACCTCGCCTGTGATCTGTTTCGGAAATTCCCAGATTTAAGTGTCTCCTTTTGACTGAAAATCAGAGTTTATAAAACTTCGGCTGATTTAGCTTTCAGTTTGTATTACATAATAGGGTGCTTGAAGGAATTTTTGGCTTTTGAATCAAAATGTAATAATTTTTTGCCAAATATTTTTTGAATGAGAAACTTAGGGTTAGTTTACATTACTGTGATCAATGCATAACTTTAAAAATATGTATTACTATGTTTTATGTGTTTTGTGTAATAACTGAGTTTGAGGACAGATTTAACTGCTAATAACTACTGCTGCGTCAGTCATGAAGTCACTGCCATATAAGATATGAAACATTAAATTGGATGCATAGGCAGTTCTGTTGATCATCTGGGTGTTAACTTCACTGATGTGAAACTGTGTTAAAAAGTAATTTCCTTAAAGTTACTAGGATTTGAATAGACATGGTTATGTTCTTCACCAAAAGGAAGATACATCTACCTTGAGGATAATTTGGATGCTATGGGAATCCAAATATAGCTGGCAAATGCATTCCAGTTCTTAATTTGGGATTAATTTAGCTGCAGAGCTGAATCATTAATATAAAGTAATGTTACTGTGTATGCTGTGTTAATGTGCCAGGATATAAATTCTGGCAGGTGTGGAGTGGATACACTGCTTTGCATTCTTTGCCATCCTTGTAATGAAGTATAGCTAGGTAGGGCATCAAAGGGATATCTGCTTCAGATAGAGCAACTGCAGTACGGTTTGTTCATAAAGCATAAAGCTGAGAGGAGATGGTGAAACTGGAAATGGACTTCTCACTCATCAACCATCTTTGCACTTTCAGTTAATAATTTTTGTTGTCTTAGTATTATTCTATGATTTCTGTCTCAAGTTTTCTCAGTCAACAGAAGATGGATGTAAGAAAACATTTACAGCAAATGAGCAACCATGTAAGACATAGTAGACTAGGCAGGTTGTTACCTACTGTCATGTTTGCAGGGTTGATGGTATATTTAACTTTATCTAAGATTCTGATGAAACCGTAGCCCTGAACATAGAGAAAGATGCAAGAATGCTGACATGTGACTAATTTCTTGGTGTACAATGTACAGTGGAGTTTTATGTAGGACTAAAACATCCTTTTATAAAAATTTTCACATTACTGTAAATCCACATATTGCTTTTGAGAAGATAAAAAAGAGTTTTCAGCCCTGAAGAGCTGAATCTGACACATTCTGTTTTTCACTTGAAGTTATAAGAGCACTCTTTAAGTTAAATATGTTTGCCAGAAATGACATTTTAGGTGCCAACTTTGTAAGTAATAGTGTTTGATGTGCTGTGTGGTTGGAGAAGAAAATGTGACGTGTGCACCCACATACACAGAGGAATGAAAACCTTCAATCCATTAATAGAAGATTTTATTTTCCCCACCTTTTTGGTATAAGATTGTATATGGGTCTATTTCTGCAATAAGTCTTTTTACCATTGACACTTTTGTTTGGTGTAAGTATAGACTTACAGGAACTGAAGTTAATTGAAACATTTTTTTTTTTTGTTTCTTTTCAGTCACCAAATCAAATCTTTACAGTATAGCAGCACAGGAGATGTCATTCTTGTTGTCTCCGGTAACTCTCAGGCAAAAGTTCTTGACAGAGATGGCTTCCCAGTAATGGAATGCATAAAAGGAGATCAATACATTGTGGATATGACAAACACAAAGGTAAAATCAGAGATTAATTCAGTGCGAGAAGACTGATAATATAGCGTGTTTCTGCTCTTAACAGGAAATCTCATGAAGTTCAGTAAGGAAGAATGCGAAGCCCTGTCTCTGTGATGTGATGGTCCCATGTACTGATACATGCTGAAAGCCGTAGGACCTTCATTCATGGAGGTTTTCACGACCTTTCTGGAAAAAGCCATGACTGAGCTGATCTGGTGTAGGCTATAAGCTGGTTTTGAGCAGGAGGTTGACTTAGGTGAACTCAAGAGGTCTCTTCCAACTAATGTTTCTATAACGTTACAAGTAGTTCTGTTTAAAAGTTTATCTTGTAAAACTTGTCAGATTCTCTTGCTTTCTTCTGCCTTCCATTCTTTTGCTGATACAATTTATTCTTTCAAGGAAGGGGTTGGAGGTTGTTATTGCTACTTAAACACCATGAGTGTAAGACTAATAAGCAACAATGTGTACATTTTTAATAGTAGTTAAAAATGCAAATGGAGAAGGGCTGATTCATAGTTTTGAAGTATTTTAAAAACAGTTATTTGGGTTTTGGCCACTTTGCCTTTGTATGTCTAAGAACTATATGAGAGAACAATTCTGTTTTACATAGATGATTTAAATTTAGGTCAGTTTTTTAAATAACTTAAACCTAAAAAGTACTGATAAAATCTACTGCTCAAACTGATGATAAAGTTGATTTATTTATTGCTGGTGAAGTATATTGTCAGATAACTAGGCTAAATGCTGTTTTGCCTAAATCTGTTCTTGTGATTATTTCTTTTGGCTAGTGATATGTGTGTAAAACCATCAAATAATAACATCTGCTTCAGTTCTTGTTTACTTAAAAATAATTCAGATTTTCTTTCTCCTCTAAACTTTTAGAATTCTAGTGTATTGTGGTCCAACAGTCAAAATGCTAAAATATTTTATTTCTCTCCATATTTGTGCTTAAAGCAAACGAAGTAATTCAAGCACTGCAGGAGTAGTTTCCACATTTCTCTTTGAATATAGTCAGCGAGCATGTGCCTGTACTTCAAAGAAGTAAAGCCAACTGGACAAAGATGTTTTATATTCATAGTTACCATAATGGCAATTGCTTACATTGGATAAAATCCTTACCTTCTGTTTATTCCATCCTAAAGAAACATGGCTGATACTCAATTCGCAACTAATAATCTATTATGAAAAACTAATTGGAGGATAAAGCTCTACTCTGAAATTCTGTTTCCTCAGTCTTCTCCAACAAGGTCTTTGGCTACTCTAGTTTGGCATTGAGTATGTATATTGTGTCGCCCCGGTAATTCTTGTTATTCGTGGGTTTTTTGTGTTGCTTGGAATAATTTGCATGACACCCTATTGATGTCTCTTGTTTTATCCTCTTTCTACATTACAGTTCTCCCAAGAGAAAAAGGGGAACTATGATTCTATGTCATTTTCTGCAAGAAAAAAAATATAAATAGGAGAATGGAAGGGTTTTTACAATTTGAAAATGAAAACAAGCAAGGATGAAATGGATTAGAGTACATAAAATCTGATAAATCATTTTGATGTCAGTCAGCCATTGCTGTAGTCAGAGGAGTCTGATTTGGCCCTCAGCTTTCATGTGATTTCACTTGAAGAATTTGAAGTAAAATTTATAAAACCTTGTAAGACATCGTACAAAACTTTGTAAGACATCTTTCTGGTTATTTTCTTAGGGTCACACAGCAATGCTCAATTCAGGCTGTTGGCATCCAAAAATAAAGGAAGAATTTTTGACATGTTCTAATGATGGGTAAGTATTGAGGTCTATCTTTGTGAGGGTTTTTTGAGCGCCTTGTTTGACTTTTGGGTTTTAATATTGTATCTTAATTTGCTTTAAATATCATCCCTTTAAATCTTAAGCAAATGCTCAGGTCAATGTTAGGTGAGATCTGGAACCAAAGAGTTCATTTGTTTTGGCTCTAGCTAATACAGACATTGTAATTTAGAATGACATGATATTTCATGAAAGTTGTATGTTAAGTGTAATTGAATATTGACGGATGCTGTTTGACAAGAGTCAAAGAGACTGTGACAAATTATTTTGTGGCTTCAGTCTTGAACTTTGTGGCTAGAATCAAATTGCAAAATGTCACTGTGGCAGTTGCATTAATTAATAGAGTTTGCTGCAGCTGTCAGTAAAAAGATGATAAATGATTTTTGAACTGATGTTTAAAATATATAATCCCCTTTACTCCAGAGTGACAGTGAGTGGGAAGATTGGATTGTCCCACTAACATATTTGTAGTGTGGTTCAATTGACCTCAAAAGTTGAAGTTCAAAAGACTTCAATTACTTAAAACCACACATTGTTTGTTTTGTTTTGTTTTGATGGACTGACTTACTGGTTTAACACACAGGTACAATTTCTGGTAAGACTATTGCAGAAGAAAAAAACCTTAAATACTACAATGTGCTTCATGGAGCAGTTCATTTGTAAAAATACATGCAAGTTAAGCCAACTATATATTTTTTCAGCTTGTAGACACAAAGGTTTCACTTCCATAGTAGAAGAAATTATTAAATGGTAGAACTGATACTTTAAAAAAGTGTTGTTCTTTTGAATGTAGTTAGGCATTAGTTTGTACATAGTAAAAAACAATTTAAGATATAATTATGAAGGATGTCTAATTTTGTCCCATCTAAACACCTGCCTAACTAATATACCAAATATGGATTCGGTGTGTCCCTGATGCTTGAATTGCAGTGAATTGAAATGATCTGGTCAAGTAAGTAAAATTCAGATGAACACTACCTAAACAGCTGCATAATTGCATTTTCAGAGAGCCTACATGACTGACATGAGAGGAAAAGCATATTAAACCCATTAAATTTTGTTTCATGCTAGTGACAGGTCTTTTCAGGATTTGGACTTGTCATGAAAAGAAACAATTTGGATTGCTTAATTTGCAACACAGGACTTAAAGACAGTATTCCATCTGTGAAATATAATAATAACAGAAACTATAAAGTCTCCAAAGTTTAATCGGTAATTCATCTTTAGACTGGAACTGTAAACTAAAATAGAATAGAATAATATAGTTTCAGTTGGAAGGGACTTACAACCATCATCTAGTCCAACTGCCTGGCCTCTTCAGTTAAGCGCGTTAAGTTAAGTTAAGTTAAGTTAAAGCGCGTTATGGCGCATCAGCTGCCTCTCTAGGAAGCCTGTGCCAGTGTTTGACCACCCTCTCGGTAAAGAAATGCTTCTTGATGTCCAGTCTGAACCTCCCGCAGCTTTGAACAATTCCCACATGTCCTACAACTGGGTACCAGGGAGAAGAGCTCAGCACCTCCCTCTCTACAACCCCTCCCCCCAGGAAGCTGTGGGGAGCAATGAGGTCACCCCCCAGCCTCCTTTTCTCCAAACAGCTGGTGATGCACCAGGTGTCTGATGCACCCCGGGGTGGGCTTTGCCCCCTGGGCTGCCAGGGCACGTGGCTGGCTCACACTGAGCCTGCTGAACAAAGCAAGTAGGAGTCTGAGTAGGGAACATCATCTGATTATGCCGATGTCTAAAGAACTTCAAAAACTTAATTAATTCAGAGAGATAAATAAGTCTTGTTTTAATTGATTACATTGTATAAAGGTTTGTTAGTAAGTAGCACATGTTTGAAAAGGTATATTTCATGAGTAAATGACAGCAGTTGCTGGTATTATACAATATCGGGAGAATTTCTGACTTCTTTTTGGTGGTGGGTCTTGCCATTGCTTTTACAATGTTGAAGAATGCTCAAGTGTAAATGTGGCTCTAAATAAATGAAGGTGATGTCTAGTGATTTTTGAATGAGGAAAAATAACTGCTGTAAGATTACTTTATTGTGGTAGTTTCAGAGAGTATTTGGCTTAGCTGGGTAACATTAGAATACTTAGGTTTCAGAGCAGAGATGTTTAGAGTTAAAGAAATGGGCCGTACCAGTGAGAGATAATTGAGAACTGTTTCTGATTTGTGCTTAAAGGAAACAGATTTTGTGAATTTCAAATAAAAGCAGTTTAAAAATTTGATTTATACCAAGCATTCCAGAAACCAGAAATTTTGTATTTTTCAGTGATTACATCTTGCATAGAATGTGTTTATGGGTTTGATTAACTGTTACAGTTGTCTATATATCTATCTGCCTGTCTAATTTTTTACATTTAATCCAGTATTTTCACCTGATGCCTACATGCTGAAGAACTAGATTTCATTGATTTATAAAGCTTACTTCTTCTATTTAAGTCAGTAGATTTGCACTTAATGAAACACAGAAATATGAAACTGTTGAAGAGTCTATATTGAGAACTTGGTTTATGTTGCAAGCAAATCAAACAAAACAACTATAACAGAACTTGAGCTTTGGAGACAGTGGCCTTGTCAGATCAGAGCAAAAGACTGGCTGTCTTTTGGCAAAGAGATCTAAATGGGGATACAGTGTGATTAAAGTTTCCAAAATGTTCAGGATGGTAGGTGGGCTGAATGTGGAACCACTGTTCGCCAAAACCTCTTATACTGAGGGATTTGTTGAAAGTGGCTACAGTTAAGTTTAAAACTAATACAAGAAAATAATTATTTTTGTATACTGTCCAAATACATTCTGGAATGTGTTGTCACAGGAGGTTGTGGAGGCAGGTTTAAAAAGAGATGAGAAAAATTCATGTTTAGAAGGACTCATAAACAGGAAATGCAATAGGCCTTAAAACATTTCTTATGTGGCAGTTGTGGATAGTGAGGGGGAATGAAGGGAATAAAGAATAATTGCTAGACTTGGTCAGCATTATTATTTCTGTGATCAAATACAGGGCTAAATGAATCTCTGGTCAGATTTAGTCGGATGCTTTTTACGTTTTTATATGTTCTTCAGTGGCAATAATTAAGATGGAATTTTATGCTACACTACTGTTGGAAATGTAGTGTGTAAATTGTTCTCAAGCTATAATGCTTTTGCAGTGGTTTTATATAGAGAGTTGGTCTGTTTTTCATGGAAATAGGTTAACTGTTGGTAAGGTCTTCTCTCTCGAGGAAGATGTTGAGACAAAGCCCAATGTATTTTTATGTGGCTTTGGTACATAGATCTTTTGGATAATAATGTTTCATCTTTTTTTTTTTTTTTTAATAAAAAACCAAACCAAACCAAAAAACCAACCAACTAACCAAACCAAAAAAGGCATATTTCAATCCTGAATCGGTCTTTCTATAGGGCAGGAGACCTGCCTGTACCCAATTTTGACATTCCTGACATTATACATGAGTGTGATTTGGTATTCACAGTCCTCAACATATTCCTCTCTGTCATACTTTATCAAGAAGATCTATATCCATATGAGGAGAAATTAAAAGCTTTACAACTGCACATCAGAGGAGAAGGTGAAATCAAACACCTACTCATCTCAGAGTTTTTTGTCCTGACAGTACAGTACTGCTCATGTATACAGTAGAGATGAACTGTCAAAATTTTGCAGTTGATTTGTGTTAGTTTTGTTCTAAAATTTGTACTAGACATTGATGTAAGATCAAATTACTTGAATTATGATAACTGCTTGGGAACATTTAATAGGGAATGTGGTGCTATGTGTATCTCTAGATGTTGAGATTTAATCGTTACATTGGAAAGGGAACTGCCTCATCTGGCACGTGTGGTGAGGACACATAACACTGAACATGAAAATGGGACCCTTCCGAGGGTCAATCTGGAGTGCATGGATGTAGGAGAATGAAACCAGTGTTGCCTTCAATAGACGTGAAGGAAGGTTGAACATCTTCCAGGTTTTTTTGACTGGCTTTTGTCTCTGTTGGACACCACATGAAGCACTAAAGCAAGGCAGTATTAGATCTTAAATAGGTACGTCTTCACTCTCTTGATTGGTATTTCTGTGTGGGAGAGCTTCTGTATATTCCAAACCTGATTGCCAGAACCAACACCTGTTTTTAAAGATGCAAGAAAAGGTGTAAGGGTTTTCAGTTTATCATCTATGAGTTTAGAAGCTGCTGAAAGTAAGGGCTGAAGCATGTGTGTCATGCTCCGTGAGGCATTTTGAATGTCAATGTCTGAGATTGAAGAAGAGGACACAGGGGAGCACCTGAGGAGTGTTAATGTACTGTTAAACCCTAATCTGTATGTTCTGTGCTTCCAGATATCATTTATACCAGCTTTAGAGAAGACAGTCATCATAAACTGAATGTTAGAACCATTTACGAGTTGTTGGTGTGTGTTTTATCTGACTATTGAAGAATTTGCATTCTCTGTCTTCTTAGTTGAATGGTTGTCACTTGCATGCAGTTTAAATATAAAGTAAGGAAAGAAGATTGCATTTTCTGGTTGATATGTTTGAAAGCTGGAGTTTTCATGATGCATAGAGAAGTTAAAAAGCAAACTTTGCAAGTAGGCTTGTAGAGTCAGAGGAAAAATAACACAGTTCAAATATGTTTTAAATAAATGCTTTTAAAATATTTTAAATACCTATTTCTTTTTATGCTAACCTGCTATAACACAAATTCTTACTTGGGGATAGTTTTTATATGTACTTGACAGTTTCTTTGGATTCCAGGTGATTAAGGATGTAGTTGTATTGTGAACTAAGAATTAATTCAAATGAAGGCTCTTAGAATTGCTCTTGTAAAAGAAATATTTCGAGAGATGGTCTGTTTCTTGTGATTTATTCATGGCATTTAGATTAACTCTACATTTTAAAAAAAGAAATCCTGTAAGTAGGCTTTGACTATAACATATTCTAATTTGTGGTTATTAGGCTATTTGTAGATTTATTACTTCAGGC